ATCCATCCATCCATCCATCCATCCATCCAGCTATCCATCCATCCATCCATCCATCCATCCATCCATCCATCCATCCATCCATCCAGCCATCCATCCATCCATCCATCCATCCATCCATCCATCCATCCATCCAGCTATCCATCCAGCTATCCATTCATCCAGCTATCCAAAAAAACACATATGGAGTACCTATTTTGGTCCAGTAACTATGCTAAGCACAATTTTTACCTGTTGTCTTAATGAAACCTCACAGTCCCCACTGAAAGGTGGCTGATTTTATCCCCCTAGAAATGAATAAAATAAAGACTGACTGAATAAGACAGTGGCTGCCTCCTAGATATACTTGGTATAAAAGGAAAGGGACTTCCTTTTTGTTGAGCCCAGATATTTGCTTGCCACTTTCATAAGTCTTATCTCAATGAGTCCTTATAACTTCTGTACAGAATTGATACCCTCATGCCCATTTTGCAGATGGGGAAATTGAGGCTCAGAGGGGTCCAGTGATTTATAAGAGCTAGTAAGTGGCAGAATAATCTTCAAACCCAGACCTGCCTTAGTAAATATGGGTCCCTTTCTTTCTTTCCTGCCCTCCATGTGACTATACCCTTGCCCAAGTTCCTGTAAGCACTGTCCTGGCTTTGGTGTGTGCTGGGTTAGAGGTCTCTTGAGGGCAAGAGCAGCTGGTGAGGGCCCCACCTTGCTGTTTCTAATTTCCTCCTTGAAGGCTTTTGTTCTCCCCATGTAGGCTGAAGCCCCGGAAGCAAGGATTTTTTTGGGGGGCTGAGACTCCTGGGGTCAGCGAGGGGCTCTCCTGCCAGTGGATGTTGCACAGGAATGCAGTGTTGCAAAGAACTTCTGAAACCAGAGTGTCATTGTCGCTAAACCTAGAAGGTGCATTCAGGGGTCACTTGGATCCTGCCATCTCTGTAAGAGGAGGGAAAGGGGTGAACACTCAGAAGCTGCTGACCACTTACTGTGCGCCAGGCCCTGTGAGGGGAACTTCACATCATCACCTAGGGATAAAACTGACTCTTCCCTCTGCCTGCATTATTTCTCAGATATCTATCTCTCCTGCTCGCTCCCTCACCTCCATCAAGACTGCTCAAATGTCCCTTTCTCAGTGAAGCCTGCCTTTGACTGCGTTACTTAAAGCAGAAGCTTAAAACAGTTTTTCTTTTAAAGATTTTATTTATTTATTTGAGAGAGAGAATGAGAGAGAGAGAGAGCATGAGAGGGAAGAGGGTCAGAGGAAGAAGCAGACTCCCTGCTGAGCAGGGAGCCCGATGCGGGACTCGATCCCGGGACTCCAGGATCATGACCTGAGCCGAAGGCAGTCGCCCAACCCACTGAGCCACCCAGGCGCCCCTAAAGCAGAAGCTTAAAGAATGAAGTGATTCTCAAGGCCACGCGGTAAACAGCTGGGTCTGTCTGTCTCCAAAGGCCACGCGCTTTTCATTCTAGCACACTGACCTCCTCTGTAGACTCCTTTCATGACATGGGCCGTGCCCTTCAGTCTGTTCTCTGTATTTAGAGGTCTGATTCTGCTTGTTGTTTGTCTATTCATTTTATTAAGATCCCACTGACGAGTGGAATCCTATGGTATTTGTCTTCCTCAGCCTGACTTATATCACTTCGCATAACACCCTCTAGTCCCACCCATGTTGTCGCGAATGGCACAGCCTCATCCTTTTTTACTGCTGCATAAGCATAGATCCTTTTTTCACCTGTTTTGCCGGGTGCCTCCCTTGTGCATTTTCTGTCTGAATGTCTGTTATTTTCTGTTGCCAACTTCCTTCAGTCTCACCCCCCACGCCAGCTCAAGAGTGCTCAATAAGTATCTTCGACTTTATATGTATCCTTGGAAAAGGTAGTGTTATCCTCTGTGTGTGTATTCATTTAGAATTTACACAAAAGGCACGATTTACATAAGTTGGGCTATGGACCTCCTTCTGTGTCTCCTAGTTGCCCCACTCAGCATCGTGTTTACAATTTAACCGTGGTGAAGGGAGCACATAGCGTTCACTGTTGCAGACATCTGCCTGGCCCTCCCTCGTGTGCATCTCCGTTTTACTTACCTGTTCCCCGGGCGATGGACGGTTGGGTTGTCTTCCGCTCCCTTTTCTATAAACAATGCTGTGAGGAGATCCTTCCAGATGCTCCCCTATGGACCAATGAGAATTTCTCCGGGATGAATACCCGGGTGTGACATTCCTAGGGCAGAGGCTTCACTCCTATGTAAGACTTAGACCTGCCAAATCACTTCTGGAACAGCTGCACTGGTCTACACTCGCACCCAGAGTTACAGGAGAGTTTCTATGTCTCTAAGTCCCCACACCCCACTTGGCATTGTTCCACTTTCAAATTGTTGGTAGGTATTAAGTAAAATATTGTTTTTGGTTTGAATTTCTCAGACCATTAATGGGTTGGTAATCATGTACTCATTAGCCATTTGAGTTGAGATTCATACCATTCCAACTCCAAAGCCTGCCCAGTATCACATAGTGATCATTAAAGTGGCCTTTTAGTGGGGCCACGTTGCCAGGGTTCAATTTCTGGCTTCACCTG